AATTGCATTTGCTCATATTTGGGTCTTCAGTTTTGTTCCATTGATCAATGGGTCTCTTTTTGTGCCAGTACCATGTTGTTTTTGTGATACAGCTCTGTAATACAGCTTAAAATCTGGTGTAGTAATTCCCCCAACATTACTCTTACTGTTCAGGGTTGTTTTGGCTATGTGAGGTCTTTTGTGCTTCCATATGACTCTTAGGATATTTTTTTCCAATTCTGTGAAAAATGTCATGGGGATTTTGATATAAATGGCTTTTTGTAGGATGGTCATTTTCACAATATTAATTCCTCCAATCCATGTGCATGGGAGGCCCTTCCATCTTCTGATGTCTTCCTCTATCTCTTTAAAGATTCAAATTTTTCATTGTAGAGCTCTGTAATGTCTTTGGTCAGGTTTATTCTGAGATATTTTATTTATTTATTTTTTTGCAGCTATTGTGAAGAAAGTGTTTCCATGTGCTCTTTCTCTGATTGCTTGTTATTGGTATATAGAAAGGCTACAAACTTTTGTAGGATAATTCTGTTTTGTAGGTTAAGTTTGTAACTTGCCACTTTACAGAACTTAATAATTTCTAAGAATTTTCTGGTCAAATTTTTGGATTCTCAGATATCATATCATCTGCAAAAAGGGATCTCTTCTTTTCCAATTATTACTCCTTTAATTTCCTTCTCTTGTCTTATTGCTCTTGCAAGAGTTTCAAGCACTACATTTAAGAGAAGTGGAGATAGTGGACAGCCTTGTCTGGTTCCTGGCTTCAATGCGAATGCTTCCAGTTTTTCTCCATTTAGAATGATGTTGGCTGTGGGTTTGTTATATATGGCTTTAATTATGTTGAGGTATGTTCCCTCCAGTTCAGTTCCCTCTAGGACTTTGAATATAAATGTATGTTGAATTTGTCAAAGGCCTTCTCTGCATCTACTGAGATGACCATGTGGCCTTGTCTTTGAGCCCATTTATATGATTTATGACGTTTATTGACTTACGTGTATTGAACCATCCCTGCATCTCTGGGATAAAGCCGACTTGATCATGGTGGATGATCCTTTTGATATGTGTTTGTATGTGGTTTGCAAATAATCTTGTTGAGAATTTTTGCATCTATATTCATTAAAGATATGGGTCTATAGTTTTCTTTTTCGGTTTTATGTTTAACTGGCTTTGGTATTAGAGTGATGCAGGATTCATAGAAGGAATTTGGAAGTTGTCCCTCCATTTCTATCTTTTTGAATAAATTAAGTAGTATTGGATTTAGATCTTCTTTAAATGTCTGATAGAATTCTGCTGTAAATCCATCTGGTCCTGGACTTTTTTCAGTTTGTATTACAGTCTCAATGTCTCATATGTGTTATGGATCTGTTTAAGCTCTTAATCTCTTCTTGGTTTAGTTTTAGTGGTTCCCATGCTTTTAGATACCTGTCCATTTCTTTTAGGCTTTCAAATTTAGTAGCATATAGGTTTTTAAAGTATTCCCTTATAATGTTCTGGATCTCTTTGGTGTCTGTTGTGATATTTCCCCTTTCATCTCTTATTTTGTTGGTTTGGAGGTGCTCTTTCTTTCTTTTGGTTAACTGGGCTAGTGGTCTGTCAATCTTGTTTATCTTTTCCAAGAACCAGCTCTTGGATTTATTGATTCTTTGTATTGTTTTCTTTGTTTCAATTGCATTAATTTCTGCCCTGATTTTTATTTCTTCTTGTCTGCTGGGTTCGGGTTTCTTTTTCTGTTGCTTTTCATGTGTGTTGAGTTGTAATGTTAAATCATTTATTTTTGTTCTTTCCGATTTTTTGATTTTTAGAGCTTTAAACTTCCCTCTAAGGACTGCTTTCAGCGTGTCCCACATGTTTTGTTGTGTTGTATTGTCCTTTTCATTTAGTTCCAGGAATACTTTTATTTCTTTCTTAATTTCTCTTTTGACCCATTCATCATTCAAGAGTGTGTTGTTTAATCTCCATTTGTTCATGTGGTGGTTAGGGCTTCTTCTGGTGTTGATTGTAAGCTTTATTGCATTGTGGTCTGATAGAATGCATGGAATTATTTCAGTCTTTTTGTATTTTTTGAGGTTTGTTTTGTGCCCCAGTATATGGTCAATTTTGGAGAAGGTTCCATGGGGTGCCAAGTAGAAAGTATGTCCTTTGATGCTTGGGTGGAATGCTTGGTAGATGTTTGTGAAGTCCATTTGATATATGGCATTGTTTAATTCAGATGTCTCTGTTAATTCTCTGTCCCGTTGACCTATCTAATGGAGACAGTGGGGCATTGAAGTCACCTACTATTAAGAAGTTGGGGTTAATCTGGGTCTTAAAAGTCCTGTAGTATTGTTTTTATGATGTTGGTTGCACCAGAGTTTGGTGAATATATGTTCATGATTGTAATATCTTCTTGATTCATTGTTCCTTTGATCAGAATGAAGTGGCCCTCTTTATCTCTTCTGATTAGTTTTAGTTTAAAGTCTATTTTGTCAGATATTAGAATTGCTACACCTGCTTTTTTCTTAGTGTCATTTGCTTGGTATATTTTTTTCCATCCTTTCACTTTGAGATAGTGTCTGTCCTTGAAAGTGAGATGAGTTTCTTGCAGACAAAAAGATGGGTTTTGTTTCTTAATCCATTCATATAGTCTATTGTTTACATTGTTGATATAGCTGTACTTTTCCACAGTTATACCTTCATTGGATTTCTTTTTGCAACCCCTTGGGTATAGTCATTCCTTTCTTCAGCTCTTTGTCTTACTTCCAGAACTCTCTGAAGGGCTGGTTTTGTGGACATTTATTCCTTCGGCCCCTTATTTATGTCATGGAAGATTTTTCTTTCCCCTTCGACTATAGTAGACATTTTGGCTGGGTATAGTAATCTAGGTTGGCACCTGTGATCATTTAAAACTGGAAATACTTTGGTCCAGTCTCTTCTGGCTTCCATAGTTTGCACTGAAAAGTCAGCTGTAATCCTAATGGATTTTCCTTTATATGTGACTTCTTGTTTCTCTTTTGCAGCTTTCAGAATTGTTTCTTTGTTTTGTACGTATAGCGTTTTTACTATGATGTGCTGTGGAGAGTTTCTTTTCTGGTCCTGTCTGTTTGGTGTTCTGTATGCTTCTTGTATTTGTATGGGCATGTCTTTAATTTTGGGAAATTTTCTTCCATGATTCTGTGGAAGATCAGGTCCATGCCATTGTCTTGGGATTCTTCTTCTTCCTGTATGCATATAATTCATAGGTTTGGTCTTTTTTATGGTGTCACACAATTCCTGCATATTCCATTCTTGTGATTTCTTTAATTTTTCACAATCTTTGCTTGAGTGGTCTAGTTCGTTCACTTTATCTTCCAGTCTTGATATTCTGTTTTCCATTTCATTCATTTGATTGGTTTGGCTTTCTCCTGTCGTTTCTAATTGGCTTACTGAGTGTTTCACTTCCTTCTTCATTTCATTCTGAGTATTCGTCAATATTTCTAACTCTTTTCTGAATTCATTCAGAAGTTTATCCCTATCTTCCTTCAGTTCTTTGGTTTCTTTGTGTGTTCTTTAAATTCACTGAATTCTTTTATCATGTTTATAATTGTTCTTTTGAGTTCCATGTCCTGCATTATCTCTAGGTGGTTCTCATTGTATTCCTCTAGAGGACTATTGGTATTTGGTGGGGATATGTTATTTTGGTTTTTCATATTATTTTTTCTCCGTGATTTTGACATGTGAATTTCTTTTGTAGTTTCTGATTCTTGTGTGAGAATCAATTCTTCAAGTTTAGGTCTGCTTTTTGTGAACTTTATGTGTCTTTGTTGTTTAATTTTTGGGCAAGAAAAGCTGGTTCCCTTAAGCTTCCAGGTATCCCTTTTGATTTTATATTGGAGTGGCCAGATTGCTTTTGTCTTCAGGGGTTCCCACGGAGGCCCAAGTCAGGTGAGGATTAGATGCTCTCAGGCTTTCTCCTGAGGTCTAGATCCCTCCAGGAAAGATTTTGGCCTCAGGAATTTGAGGGTTGGACTGGCCTGGGAGCAGGGCCCAGGAAAGATGCTGGTCTAGGGCAGTTGGTGGCCGTGACACCCAGAGATGCAAAGGCAGATGGTGGTGGGTAGCGGCCCCAAGGACTCCTGGGGACTGCAGTGAGGAGGTGGGTTGGTCTGGATGCAAAGGATCAGGAAGAGGAAAAGCCAGCCTTGGCTTCTAGGAAAGAGGCTTGTGGGTGGTGCAGGCCTAGGGAAATAGAGGGAGGTGAGGGCCGGGCCAGGCCCAGAGTTCTCCTGGGGACCAGAGAAGGCACTGAGTTGGTCTGGATGGAAAGGTTCAGGAAGCAGTAGTGGTTCTCCAGGTGTCTGGAGTGCCAAAACAAAGAATGGGACAGGGACCCAGACTAGGAGTAGAGACCAGTGGGGCAGATGGGAGGGTAAATAAGGCTGGGGGAGTGAAGGTGTGGAGGGCGCGATGGGCTTACCCCAGAGAGAGAGGCCTGCAGGTCGTGCAGGCTCAGGGAAGCAGAGGGCCCCCACATTCTAAGCAGGCACTTTGCTAGTGTGCTATACCATAGCCTGATAAGCCTAAATTTAAATCTTGGCTTACAGTTCCCAAATGAAGCCTTGTTGGGAGTCATGTAACTTTGCCAGCCGTCTGAATTCTCCTTTATCAAAAAAGAAAAGATCAACTCTATGAAGTGACAGTAGAGTTTAAGAGTGGGCTGTGTTGAGAGGATTGAGTTTAACTAATGGCTAGTGTTATTACTGTAAGTAATATTCTTCATTGATCATGTGGAGGTGATGTACTCCTGACTGGTCATGCTCATGCCATTGCTAGGAACATTCTTGGGAGAAATTTTAAAGTTGGAAAATGAATATAATATAAACCCAATGGCCAGCTGTTCTCCCTAGAAAGATACTCTGTCTGTGACTTAGGGAATTCCTTCCTCCTGTACCTGTTCCCTATCTATTCCCCCTGTAGCTATATAGAGATGCAAAGAAGAGATTCTTGATATGACAAAGAGATAAGGATAGACAGCTTAGGATCTATAATCTTAGGATCTATTGACAACCTTTCCAAATTTTACTAACATAGTGGGACAGAAATACTGGGAGACAGTATAAAATAGTATTACCTATAAAGCCATCTGAAAGTTCAAGAGCCTGTGGTTTTGGCTCTTAGAGTACCTGGGTCTGAAGGACATTGGGAGCTTCTAGCTTGAAGCCTGTGCTGTTCTTGCTGGGAAATTGCACATACTCAGTGGGTGTCCCACCTTGCTAACTGCCTCCTCAAAATTATTTGGTTAGAAATACCTACCAAATTAAATAGTTTGAGTTATGTTGGTGGCACATCCCTGTAATCCTAGCACTTGGAAGTGGATGCAAGAGGATCAGGAATTCAAAATCTTCCCTTGACTATGTAGCCAGTTTGAGGACCAGCTAGATGACATGAGATTCTATCTCAAAACAAAAAGAAACAAACAAGAAAAAAATTAGTTTGAGTTATGCTTAGCTAGCCAAAGCAGATATAATTTTACTTTATTGTGCTTAGAGAAGCACTTCACTTTGTGGCCTTTAGTTTGAATCCAGTAGAAAGTAGAAAGAGTCAGTCTCAGATTTGTTTAGGGAAGAGTTTTTTCCTAGCAAGAACATGGGGAGGTATGGAGTGCTGGTGGAACGAAAACCCTGACCTCTGTTTGTTCCTGCAGGAACTGGCTCTCTGCAGACACTAAAGAAGAACGGGATCTCTGGATGCAAAAACTCAATCAGGTTCTTGTTGATATTCGCCTCTGGCAGCCTGATGCTTGCTACAAGCCTATTGGAAAGCCTTAAACTGTGGGAAGTTTCCAGACCATGGAGAGAACATTTTTTTTGCGTTCTGTCAAAAAATGACTCAAGAAATCATAGTTAAGAGCATCAGATTTGCTGATTGCATTTTATGCTTTAAATATAAAAGGGTTTGTGCAAATACTACGTTTTATGCAATATTTATATCTTTTATATGTAAAATTTCACCCAGTTTCTCTTCTTTCATTTATAAATTATTAGAAGGCAATTCATGATAGTTGGTTTTGCAAAATTTAAATTTAGGCATCTCATTTTCCTAGAAACTTAATTAGCAAGTTGTTCATGACATAAAATTTTTTTAGGTAAGTTCTGTGTTGCCTTCTTGGAGCAGTGGGCCTTGAGGTAGCAAGGTCTCTAGGGGGTCACAGATAGAAACCTCAAGTTTGGTGATTCCCTAGTCTCAGTGGAATTTTTTTTAAGGTTGTGATCATATAGCTCATGGTATGACTTGTTGCTAGAGCATTGCAAACAGTTTCTAAAGAACTTTACAGAAACGTTTTAGTAATGGAGAGGAGAACTTTTTCAAACAACAAAAGCAGCTTAGTTTAAAGCTTAAGGCTGCCTTCTAAAAAGATACATAGTGGACATTGTGTGAAATTTGGGGTTAAATATTTTATATGGAAGAGTTAGGAATCACATGGTTTACATTTACTATATATGCAGTTACGATATATGCAGTGTGGTGCACATTTTCATACTTTTCAGGCCTTATTGAAATAGTTATTTTTGCATTATAGCTTATAGATTGCTCATATATTAGCGTATTGTTCCTTTTGTGCCTATCATAAGAACAAATGTAAATTGAAGAACCTTTATATAAAAGGATTTAAGGCTGGGTGTTGTGGTGCGTCTCAGCACTCGGGAGGCAAAGCCAAGGGGATCTCTGAGATAGAGGCCAGCTGGAGCTATAGGAAGACCCTGTCTCACGCAAACGAAAAAAAACAACAAAAAAAATTTAAACTTTTACCAAGCTGCTATGGACTAATACTTTGCTTGCCAAAGTTCTTTTTTT